GCAAATATAATACCTACATAATTTACATTCATTTACATTTCTATTAAAAATTTTCCTTGGGTACTGCAACGAAATGTAACAACTAATGGAGCTATTGACATAATGGTTAAGGTATAATGTGGTCATTTAAAGGTATTTGTGTGCTTAATCACACTTAAGCACACAAATACCCTTAAATGACCACATTACACAAAATTTACGTAGTAATAGTATTTAAGCTTACGTAGTATTAATATATATATATATATATATATATATATATATATAATAAAAGACAAGTAGCATGATCATGCAAAAGTTCACACAAGCCTGATACATTCATTAAAATATGATGTCATTTCACAACATGTTAGTCCATTTTTACCACTTTTTCATTAGATTTTAAACTAACATCCCGATGAGCTTAATGACTTGAAATATTGAATAGCTCAGAATTGAATGACAATGTAAGATTATGAAAAAGTAGCAGCTAGGTATATTATAAAAAATATTTTTTTTTTAATTTAACTCGTTTTATAGTTTACACAATCTAAAACCACACACAAACACGCAAGCACGTACATTTACATAAGCATAATATGTATATTTATTTCTAACTATAGATCCGCGCCGGCTTCGCACCGGTGATTTCTGTATCTCGACCACAACGCCATTTACCTGGTCCAAATTTGTTTTTTTTTTTGTTTTTAAACCATCTAGTGACCCATTAAAACAAACAAAAAATTGCATCAAAATCGGTCGAACCGTTTATGAACTTTAGTGAGACTAGCGGACAGTAATTGATTTTTATATTTTTTTTTTATATAGCAGAAGGGGCAAACGAGCATGCGGCTCACCGGATGGTAAGCGACTGCCCATAAACAACTGCAGTACTAGGAAAATTGCAGATGCGTTGCCGGCCTTTTAAAAAGGAGTATGCTATTTTCTTAAAGGTTCTTAAGTCGAATCGGTCCGGTAAAATCTCTGGTGGTTGTTGATTCCACAAGGAAGTTGTGCGAGGAAGAAAACTTCTTCTAAATCGCACAGTGGTGGACCGCCAATCATCCAGATGATATGGATGGTAACGAGAGTTTTGTCGCGATGTGCGATAGTGAAATTCCTCCGAGCACTCCTCGTGGTAGATGCGATAAAATACGCAAAGAGATGAAACATCTCTTCGCAACGTCGTCGACGATTCGAGCTGCTCTGCGCTGGATGCGGTCAAGTGGAAAGACCTGGCACTGGGGAGCCCCAGCCCAGATATGGGAACAGTATTCCAAGTCGGGTCGAACCTGCGCCTTGTAAAGTTGCAGGCGGTCTGCCGGTATAAAATACTGTCCCGCTCTGGTGAGCACGCCAAACTTTTTAGAGGCCAATTTGGTCTTCTCTTCCAAGTGAGATTACAAAGACATTTTTAGTTAAACTTTAAAAGAATAAAGACGAAACAGACTAGCTAATTGCGTGGTTTAGAACTTTGTTACAGTGCCAAAAACGGATACTTCTTGGTTATTTTGGTTTTGATATCACAAAATATTTTTTTTTACTTTTGATTGGCATTTAAATTCGGAACGAAAAACTAAACATGCAATTGCCATGTGGTGGAGGCGAGGAGATTCATCACCTCATTTCGTCCTGTGGGTGTAGTACGAGGCTATTATAAAATGGCAGATATATCTGAATGGCTTTGGATACATATTAGTATTTCGTATATACCAGACCTAAAATACTCCGGCTGGTGCCAGACAACAGTGTCGAAGGTGCGAGATGTCTGGTGCTATGATCGTCCATTCGTTTCCCAAGCGTGACGTTCAAGGCAAATCTTCCGAACGACGGAGAGGTCCATGTCAAATATATGGCCCAATATATGCTAAAATTTGATGTTCCCGGATTGTTTCGACGTTGGTCATGACTTGCTAAATGTGTAAGATGCATTACATTACAGAGAGTATTGGTCAAATATATAAACGCTACTAATTTTAAGACGTCGTTAAAAGCCATAGTAAACTATACGTTGTAGAGACAAGCTGTAGCTATATTATGGTTGTAGCACGAATGGGTCGGCTAAACCGGGGTAGGATCACGCTCTCACAGAATACCAGCGTAAAATAGCAGCTTAATTCTGCTGTGTTTCGGTGTGGTGAGTGTAGAGAACCGAAGACCCTTTTTACTGGATACGAGAGTCTCGTATCCAGTAAAATTGGTCTTCGTCGGAATACTAAGATGGCCTCAGGGGTGGCAACGTATCTGCATTTTGATTCTTAATTGAGGATAGATGTAGATACCTGTGGGCCACAGCATCCACTTACCATCATAGGGCTGTATGCCCGTTTGTCACTTATAAGTATTATATTCTATAAAAAAAAGTCTCGTGGTGTCACAGTCACTTTGACTTAAAGTGATAGAGACAGCACGAGAAAAAATTGGGCAGGGTTTGAGTATTTGGGCATAGCCAGCACAGGCCAGCACAGACGAACTTATAACTTAGATTTACAGAATCTCAAAAAACAATTTTATCACAAATATTACTTTTGGTTTGTATTTGAACTCCGAACTCAATATTCCAATAGTCATTACCTTATAGACTGGAAATAATAATATTAAACGAATGATAATGACATCTACAAGTCACTCACTCCTTTTCGTTTATCAGGCTTAACATTTTTAGTAAAATATTTTTGACTTTATTACACTGTGATTTAATTGGCCAAGCCAGATATATTCACCAATATTCAATTAAAGGTTATTTCGAAGAAAAAATATTTACACATTTCCTTTCATCACGTCAAACGCAACAATGAATGTAATAAAGTGTTTCTTAATTCATTGCTGTTATAAGCTTTTTCAACTTCCATTTAAATGTTATACTGCATGATTAATTTTGTTAACATGACTGAGCATTTTTGAACTTTAAGAACTTATTATATACTATACCTATACTAAATAGGACCCAAAATGCCTGATAAGGTTATTTTAACTTGGACCAAATTGTAACACATCTCATCCGTTGTACTTCAGAATCTTATAGGCGTGCAAACTACAAACACTGCGTGTAGCTAGTGGTTACAGATCCGAGGCATGACCCCTCACAGCTGGCTGCATGGAGAAGCTCAAAGTCACATAACGAATTATAGCATAGCATAGCGAGTATATAGCAGCTTTTTTGCACGATAAAATCCGTAACGAGGTTACACGCAGACGAACGAAATATAAATGGTTTATTTAGAGTAAAGCGTAATCATAATAAACTTGTGATACACAGGTGTGTGAAAATAAAAATATTCAGTTTTCAGGTTGCGTTGCGGCAACTTAAATTTATACACTTTTTACTAAAACATAAGGTTCTTTTTTAGTCTAGGCGTCCGTACTTGTTATCTATATCTGTCGCTAACCAGCAGCGCACTCTAAATTGTGTTTCGGCAGAAGCGTAAGAAAGCCGATTAAATTACAACTTTGGACATTCCATTACTTCAGGGATTTCTTTTTTACTCTCGCAAAGTTTAATTGACAGTAAATTTATTTACATAACATTGATAAATAATACAATATTAAAAACTATAATAATTATAAAAAAGAACTATAACTTTCGTTGTTTGAAGTTAATTGTAGTTGTCTATGGGCTCCAGTACATTTTAGTAAAGTGTTAGCTCGTTTTTCATTTGAATCTTTTAAAAAATATACTTTTTCGAGATTTAAGTATTAAAATACTAAAAAAATATGTAAACGTGATGCAACATTACATATGATGTATACCTATAACTAACATATTATACATAGATTTTCATAATGATATCATCCCAACACAAGTCTACTACTGAACATAGGTCTCCGCTAAGGAATGCCGTGAATCGCATTGTTTCTTTGTTGGTTGTCAATTGTTAGAACCTCATTCGCCATTCCAATAACGGTTTGGTTAGGTTCTGATGATTGACGAAATAGCGTGCACAGCAGGCATGCGAAGTTGGCAATGAAATTGTCATGATCCCTTTTAACTCTTGGTAAAAAATGGGTTTGGGGGACTTATGCTCGGTTTCTGAGGTACTTTTATCGAGAGTTTATCTATTTGTTAGCGCTATTGGTTCGATAACTTGTGAAAGTGCGTTTCCGAACATCGCAATGTAAGATAAACTCCTTTTAAGCTAAGTTTAATTTAACTAGCCAATATGATGTGCCGTTTGTCGGTTCTATAACTTTATTTGACGTTTAATTTCAAGCAAACTACATCAACTTTTAGGTTATAACGTGTTATTATTAAAATAAATTGCCAGTGGGCGCTAAATACTAAAATATTCAAGGGATAAAATAATTATTAATAGAAGTGCTATGAATACAAGTACTCTTCTCTCTTTAAGAAAAATTTTTTACTACGTTTTCCAGATTCCATAATGTTTTGGATAATGCAAAAACGATAGTAAATACCACTAAACTTAAAATCAGAAAGTTTTTAAAAATAAAACCACATTCGAATAAAAGCAATGAATTTGATGTTTTCTTTTTTAACAATTTGACAATACAATGATATCATTCATACAGTTTCTGATAAATATGGAATTATCATATTTTATTACTAAAACAGTGCATATCCTCTTATTTAGCCTCAAAAAAAATATTTTATAAATAATACTAGTATAAATGAAGAATTGAAATAAAAAATCAATTTTAGACTCGATGTCTTAAACAGACCCATCTAGCGGCAAATTATGGTACTTGTTAATGGTTTCATAGTTGTCGAACGATTCGAACGAAGTGACAGTTAACCGACTTTTATTCTATAGATAACTTTATTGAATCAATAGCTAATGGGAAGATAACTAGGAACTTCAGAAACCGGGCATTAGTAAGATAAAACATCAGTTACGGTTTTTACCTAATACAAACGAGGTGCTCATTTATAGCCTATTTGAACCATTTTTAATATGTCTTGAATTTTGTAAATAACTCATGTGCGGTTCAATAAAAAAAGTATAATATGTGTAGCATGTCAAAAATGTAATTTAAATTTCACAAAATATTTCTTGTTTCAGATCTCGGGAGCTTATCAAGGGTGCTATTCTGGACAACGATTTCATGAAAAACTTGGAAATGACGCAAATTCGCGAAATTGTTGACTGCATGTATCCAGTTGAATATGCGGCGGGAAGTGTTATTATTAAGGAGGGGGATGTTGGCAGTATAGTCTACGTGATGGAAGGTAAGTTAAAAAGAATAATAGTATTTAAGTTTTTCTTTTTTGTATCAAATAAACATTTGTGTAAAACGCCCTCTAGTATCAAGTAGCAGAACTAATACATATACATTGTTAAATATATACTTCTTCGTTAAGTCCTTCACAGATGGCGGTGTATTCGCCTTCGTTTTTAATGAAAAATGTTCTGTACCTAATAGGTCATGTCAACAATAACTATTACAAATTACAATTCTATTAGTTGTTTGTGTATTTGTGGCCGCTGTAATAAGTAGGTACCTAACATATTTATTTTAAGATCAAATTATGCCATTATTTGCTCGGTATTATAACAATAAAATAAACCATAATACATAATATCAGTCTGTTTTCTTATACAGCGATAAAAGTATAAACTGTTTGATGGTGACACTTGATACTTATCTAGCTTCATATAATATGCTAGTAGTCCAGGCTAGTAGTATAGAAATACCTTATCGTAAATCTTATTTTTATTTCATAACAATGTCATCTTGAAGCATTAGTAGCAAGTAGGAACTTATCCGCATTTTAGAAAGTGGGAAACCAGACTAACTCGATTCCTACTTTCCTGTGGTTGATATTACTTCATAATAACTATACCGTTTTTAGTCACCCACACAGCTGATACCCGCGACTTCGACCGCGTTGCTTGATATATTAACAATATTTTCGTATGTGCGAAAAAAAAGACATCAAAAAGATCGCAAGCAAAAATATAATTTGCTTTAATAACTTTATATTAAATGAAAATATTGCAATATTTTTTTTTTGTAGATAAGGGCCAAGTATCTAAGAAATAAAACTTAGAAAACCTAACTGAAATCTATCCAGTAGTTTTTCCGTGATGCGCGCACAACTGCAAACCTCTATCATTTTATTTATATAGAAGAAGAAGAAGATAATAATGTCAATGGGGTTTTGAGTTTCAACTAATCGCTAATTGTAGAAATCACATTAAATACAGTAATATTATTAAATACTTTACGTGGTAGAACCATGCTGCAGCTAAATTAATAGTATAGTTGTAGCACGAATGGGTCGGCTCGACCGGGGAAGGACCACACTCTCACAGAATACCAGCGTAAAGTAGCAGCTTAACACTGCTGTGATTCGTATGGTGAGTGCAGAGAACCGGGGACCCATTTTACTGGAAAAGAGACATTTTATCTTAGTCCTCATGGCTAACAATGCATCTGCATTTTGATTCTTTATTGAGGATAGATGTAGATGTCTATGAGCCACAGCAACCACTTACGACCAGGTGGACTGTGTGCTCGTTTGTAAACCTTATTCTATAAATATAGGCAATATGATGTTAAATTATATTTATCAATCTTAAAGGATTACACACCTACTAGGAGAAGATAATGCACTAGTAGTAGATTTATGGGAATTCGAACTTATGGCAATATTTATAGTTACCACAAAATCAAAGGCAATTTTTTATAACTATATAAAAATAATTGTTTCTTTGTTTGTCCCATATGCATATTCTCATAGGAATATAGGATCCATCCGATAACGATGAAACTGTGGTAAGAATCTGTGTGCGCTCTGCGAAGGTTTCTGAATAAAAATATTATATTTTGTTTCTCCGTTTGTTCGTTTTCTAGACGTTCCTATAACATTCATTATTTTTTAATTTGATTTTTTGATTACGATGGTACTTTTGGTTAACCATGTAGTGGCGTTGTGTCGTAAGCACGGAGCAAATACAAAGGTCGTAAGTCTGTGGGTGTCGTAAGAGGCGACAGAGGGAAACAAACCAAGGGATGGGCAGCGGTCAACTGCAGTGCCAGCCTGCTTGCCAAGCATGGCAACTATGGAAAATATTTCCCCTATAAAGCAATCTATGGGAGAGACATATTATGTTTAGAAGTGGACTCTGATAGCTAGTAACGGAAACTTTGCTGAGTTATTGTGCGCGTGTCCGTGAATTATTTTGATAAAAAGGCATGGCTGCAAACGAGGAATGGAAAAAACTGCGGCTCTATTAGACACGTTTAGTATAATTTATTGAATAGCGTTGACAGAAAGACAATTTTTTTTTATTTGTCTATGAGATGTCGTCAAAATAAAATTTTAATCTCTATTTCGAAAAAATATCATATGACATATTATTATAATATATGTAATGAGGTTACAATGTGATTAGACATACTGAATAGTTAGGTATTTACAAAGTATTATAGATAAGTTTATTTTAGTTATACGAGCCGTGGTAGCTCAGAGGGTAGTGCTAGTAAATTTCACAGTACGCGAGTCATTTGAGTTCGATCCCTGTTAATTGCAATTATATGTACATATGTAATGTAATGTGGATGAAAACATTGAGAGGTAACCTGCATGTCTGAGAAATTAAAAATATATATATTTTGGAAGATGTTAAGTCAGTCATCACGTTTTGGGGCACTGCGGCGTACATTTCCTTAAAACTCTCCCAAAATGAGAAGACGCTTGTGCCCAACAGTGGCTCGTTCATAGGCTGTAACATAACAACATAACACTTTTATTTTTATAACTAATTTCACTTTTAACTTCGAATTCTATTTACGTTTTATATCGTATTCCCACGTAATCTAAACTATATTAGAAAAGAAGGAAAAGCGGTCGCAAGTGAAACAGTTTGGTAACTCTTTCGATGTACACAATCCAGACCTTTAACCTGTCACGTTGTCGGAGTTCAAGTTTTGAGACATGAAAGTTTTGTTGTAATGATGGACGACAAATCTGTTGCGTAACATATCGTTAGAATTACGTTTCAAAATATTGTTATTTTTTATTTAAAATGAAACTAAATTTTTGTTTTAATTGTAAGTAATTTTTTTTTTATATTAAACATAATTTTAAAATTCAGTCAATAATAAAATAATTATCAATTATAACTACTATTTATTGCTTATGTAATTTTTCTTCACGTCAAAGTTAATTCAATGTGTAATAATATTTTTGTGACATCGTGATTCAAATAACCCAATTATCGCCTTTACCGCGTCGTCAAGGTAAAGAGTAATTATGCGAGGGCAACACCAAAGGTCGGCATTGTTGTGTGTGAATGGTTCTCATCTGTACAAACTACAAACATCGGGCGAAACAATTTGCTTGCGTGTGTCTGGCTAATAATGCTGTTTCTAAGCAACTATTAGTTTCATATTAAAAAAAAGATAATTATATTTATCTACATCCGGGTTCTGTAAAAATACGCGTGGTATTCTGAGAATAAAAAACAACCGATAGAAGTCGTTCTGCAAGTTTAAATCTCAAAATAAAAAGTTCTATAGTCTGTAGTTTAATCTGCTTTTGGATATTTGGACGGTATAACGAGATGGGCAGCAGCGTCATCCTAAAAAGGACTAATTATGGCCAGCGATTTTTCCTCATTGTTCTGAACCTGCTTCTATAAAATATAAAATGTTTACAAAAATAAAATAGCTACACAAATTTTACCGAAATAAGAAATTCTTCGATCCGTGAGAAATAGTTTCAAAAGCTTTTTCTATAGAAAGGAGTAATCGTGATATAATTTGGTAGGCAAATCTGCCAAGTAAATTTATAATTGAGTAACTGCTGAATTGTAAAACGTTACCTATTTTGAAAAAAAAGCAGTACGTTTCTTGCTGATCTTTTTCAGAACAGAGGCTTTTTTCCGAAACAGTGGTAGAAGTTTAAAAGTGACTTTCAACTAGCATGGTTTTATCATTATTATCTGTGTACTTAAATCTATGAATAAACATTATTCTATTCTACTCTAAAAATTGTTTTACACCTTTGACGCTACTAAGAGCACGAACTCGTCGACTCTACAAGAGAACCACGCTCATATAAAATACCAGCCAGAGAAATCTCAATATTTTTTTTTAGATTTCTGTACTCGTATCACAGAAATCTTAAAGTTATTATTTAGATATAACCTAGCATCGAATAAGACGTAGGTCGCGTCTATCTGATTCTGATGTAATCTGTCCGGTCCGAGTGATGAGGTCGACAAATAGTATAGAAATAGGCTTGAGCATGAGTTCACAGATGCGTTTTCAAAGTTGCAAATGAAATTGGTGGTTTGTATAGGAAAAGATGACGCGGAAACCGGGAAGATTGATATCACGCCACCGATACGAGCACTATCACAGGCTCCGAATGCTACCTTTGCTTTTAATTATGGAACAAATGGTTTGGAAAATGTTGTCCAGATCAAGATCGGTCTGCAGAAACTTGAGTATTTATTAACGTAGGTAATAATGAATCATATTAAAATATGTCACCAAGTATCACTTTCAATAGTTGCCTAACTGTTAGGCTTAAACACTTTTCGTAAGTCGGTCGTTCATTCTAGAGAAATTAACTCTATAAGTAAAATAGGTATTTTATATTTTTAGTTGTTTTTTTTTAATATTTTGATTGGCGTAAAAATCTATTTGTTTTCTTCGTTGCTTACCTATTTTTTTTATAAGTCACAAAAGCTATTGGTCTGCCTCATGGTGACTATGGCAGCACATAGACACCCATAACCGACTTCAAACAAAGAAGGTCATAAATGTGTTTTCGTCTTTGAAGATTCAGATAAAATTCCTCATAGTCTCGTGTAAAACAAAGTGTTCCCTTTATTTTGTGTTCTTACCTTTCGAACTTAATATCGGAAGAAATAGGCAATAAGGTGGTACCAATTCTAACTTATTTCTAGGCAGAAAACAAGCCATATTAACTGAAATTAATTTCCTACTTGAGATTGTCGAGATATTTTCCAGCTACAATTTGAAAGACATTGAAGTTTTGTGAAGGGAAGGCATGTTCCTTTCTCGTTAATAGTTGTCAGTATTAATGTGTTTAGGTTTTTTTTTTATATAAATATTTTATAAAACCAACACTTCCTATAAATAAATATCAATAAATATTATAAAACAAAATACAGAATTGCTTATAAACGTCTGTGTGTACATACATTCATATAAAATTTAAAAATTAACTATTTAATTGATTTTGATTCTGTT